GGTCGAAGAGTGGACTAATTGAGACACGTTTGAAAAGTGAATGGTGTCTAGGAGCTTTTGGAATTTAGGAGAGGGTATATGTGTGGGCCAGTTAATTTCCGGCAAATTAAAATCTCCTGCGATGATGTTGACATCGAAAAAAACTCTGCGATTTTTTCAAGGAATTCATATACTTGGCTTTCTTTTCCGGCGTAACAAGGAGTATTATATACACAACCGACTAAGGCTTTCCTATTTTGCGGAAGGATTACCGAAGCGAAACGTAAATTTTGAAGAAAGAGGGAACGTTCAGATCAGACGGCGACTGTGCAAGTGTGGCTCTGATAAAAAGAAGTCAACCACCGCCGCGTCTTTCGACACGATCCTGGGGGTATAAACTGAGGCTATCTATATTGAGTGCCGAGTCTGAAATTAGAGAGTGAGCCCAGGATTCTCTAATGCACAAAACATGTTGGGCAACCTCAACAGCCACATTTCTTAGTTGTGCCATCTTTTGCACGACTGACCTTGCATTGAGAGAGATAATACTGAACGTATTCCTAATATCTAGGTTCTGCTGATTGCTACTTAAAAATGGAAAGTTGGTGGTGGAAAATTAAGCTGTTAGGATGGAGCAATTGGTGGAAGACAAAGTTGCCGTTGTCTAAAACTTGTGGGTTGATTACCACTAACTAGAGATGCAGCATTGTAGGGAAAAACATTTAAGTAGTACCCAGGAAGAGGAATGCTATTTTGATGGGTTGGAAAAATAGGAGGCATGAAAATAGGATTTTGTGAATTATGAGCATAATATGAGGGGTAGTTAATATTAGATTGCGGCCGTAATGGTTTCGAGAAACAGCATACATTGGGAAAAGGCTTTATCATTTGGGGCGTCAGGCTAACAATGGGAATGGAAAAATTTTCAGCGACGCTATATACTTGCATGTTGCAGGCTAATATGCAGGTGGGTCTTACAACTGGTGTGTTTACGTTAAGTTGAGAATTCGGGAGAGGAACAGGTAAAGATCTCCTCGAACTATCATCTGGCTTATTTGGCCTTATCTCTAGGTCAGACCTGAGTGGCCAGGCACGGGAACGGGTTGGATTCGATCCAAGTTTAATAACTAATTAATTATTCTGAGTGCTGGAGGTCGGTTGTGCTTCTAGGATTGGCTCATCTTCACTGTTAAGATCAAGCGTCCTCATAAATTTGGGGACCGTATGTGAGCATTCCTTGCTTCTTGGAGGCGTTTTAAAGTGGCTGGTTTCAACCGACTCTGTGATAATGCGCTCACCTGAAGACCTAGATGGAACTGGGGCCGCTGTAGATAGGGGGGGGGGAGATGTGGTTGACGCCCGATGGAGGATCTGCTTTAAAGTCAAATGGCAGATGAGTAGAATTCTGGAGTGGCTTTACGTTTGTTAATAGAGGAGAAATTTCGTTGCAGTCAGACAGACAGCACGGCAACTTTTAAGGTTAACCAACGACCAGAGAAGATATGTAATAGTCCAGATGCCCAAAAAGGTGCAAGCAATTTGGGTTAGAAAGATGGAAGCCCCCTACCAGAGAGGCCCGGAAAGTAAGAATTACTGAGCAGGGACTGATTAAGACTCAGTGAATCCTTATTTGGCCGGCCCAACCTATGCCAAAATTTTCTGTTGAGTACACACACGCGTACGCAGCACACAGCTGCACTTTGAAGCAAGCCTAACTAATACGCAACGAACACCAATTAAACTTCTATAGGCACTTACCTGTCAGTCAGACACTAACAGCGCTGGTCTGTGGATGATAAATAATCTTTAATTGTTACCATCGAATTTTTAATCCTAAGTGCTCAGAGACGGAGGGTATCGGTGCACAGCCAGTTCATTTAGGGCCAGACGGGAAGAATTATGTGATATGAGTCTATCACAGATAGGCTAGGCCGTGCAGAGGTTCTATCAGCATGAGGTCAGTCAGTCAGTCAGTGTACTTGAGGGAAATAGGCTTACGCCTTTGAACTCCATATTTGTGTATAAAAAATCGATAAATAAGCAAAAATGTGAGGAAATTACGGCATTAAGTGAATGCAGACATTGATTCACATATGCCATTGTCCTGATGGCTAAAAGTCACATAGTCCGCTTGTTGCTGCAGCATATGTCTGTCAATCCGACATTTAAATGTTTCCACAAATTGAGACATGACAACCGTCTCGGGCAGGTTGTTTCACGGTTCCACGACACGGTTGGAGAAGAAATATTTTCTCACATTCAATCTACCCTGGGGCACACGGAGCTTGAAGGGATGTCCCCGGGGGTTAGCTTTAGTGGCGAGTCGGAAAAATTCATCGCACCGAAGGGCGCAGTCCAAGCCACGCACGATACGGAAAGTTTGTATCAAGTCTCCGCGCAACTGCCTACAATTCAGAGGATAGAGATTAAGGCTTGTTCATCAGATCTCGTATGGCAGTGCCCTTTCACATCTTATTAATTTTTTTGCTCGCCCCTGCACGCTCTCCTAATACGTCCACGGTCTACAGGCCTGAATTCCATATTCGAGATGTGGCCTTGCAAACGTGCCGAAGACTTTTGAGAAGCAGTCTTCATCGAAAACTGCGAATACCAGCTTGATGGCATATAGCATTGAAGTTACGGCCTTGGCCGCCTTACAACATTGTGTAGAAGGCTTTAGGCTGTCTGCAGCCCAGACTCCGAGATCTTTCTGCGTTTTCGTTTCTCGGAGTAGCATTCCGTTCAAATGGCATTGCCGCGTATAGGGGTCTGATTTCTGAGGCGCAGTATAGTACATTTGTTCAAAATGAAGGATAGGAGCCATCTGCGGAAACATTCGTCCAATCAACAAAGGTTTTCTTGGAAGTTGGTCTCATCGGGAACATTCTCGATGACTTCCCAGATTTGTATGTCATCCGCAAACATGGCACTGCCACAGTCCAACCCATCTACACAATCATTGACGAACAAGAGAAAGAGGGTTGGTCGGAGCACCGAGCCTTGTGGGACTCCATTCTCTATGAATGTGGCTCCAAAGCCTACTGTGGCCGATCGCGTCTGGGTTCCTCTCGTCTGACCCCTTTGACGCGAATAGGCTCATCTGGCGTATCAATCCTGCCCTGACGATGTCGGTTCTAAATCGCGTATACAATACCACATGCATGCCAGCTCTGTCCGACCCGCATACGTACCCCTGAAGGCTGACATTTATTTCTGCCCAGACGATGTCCGATTTTAATCGAGGCTGACATTTATTTCTGCCCTCATGTTGCCCTGATTATAATCCGTTATATAATAATAAATAATAATTATTGTTATTAAAGACTCGTCGACGTCCCATCAAAGCAAGTAAAAATAAATTTACATGCGAATTTTAGACGAGGTAGGCAAAATCTGTACAAAGTGCTATACATGGTTTTTGAATTAGAAGTCCGTTAAGAAAAATGATAAGCGAGGGGTTAAAAAAAATTCCACATCAAAATTTACAAATGATTGGATTAATTTTACAGGAGAATAGAACCACTCGAAAAAATAGAAGCAGAAAAATGCGGGCAGGACTGGCCTGCATGTGGCGGTAGAGAATGGATTATAGTTGGACATCGTCAGGACCGAAATAAATGTCAGCTGTGTATGGCATTGTATAAAGGATTTTATGAAGGAGTAAGTAGGCGGGTCGGTCAGGACTGGCCTGTATGTGGCCTTGAATAAGGCAAATAAGTGGCGAAATTGAAAACCAGTCTCGAGGCGATAGGAACCCATATGCGGTCGGTTACATTCATCCGAGTCCATCCGAGGATGGGGCAAGGGAGATACGACCATACTACTAGTATATGGCGACTACAGGTTTCGCCAAGAGCGTCGATGGAGCGCATTCTGTGCGGGCACGATGCATGAACTGAGAGATCGGAAAATTAACATTTCTGGTGAAGGATCCTAGGAAGCGAGACTACTCACAAAGGAAAGAAATGTGAACACACACGGAAATTTAATGGCGGCATACTAAATTCCCGGTGGCCCTTTCTCAGTGTCATAGAAAAGTTGTCTGGGAAGGATGAGGAAAATAAAAGTTTAATCGGGTCAGTATTCAGATAAAGGCGCAGCCTTCTCTTAAACGTGTGTAGATTTTCTGAAGATCTTATATTTATTGGAAGGTTATTCCAGAGGAAAGTATATCTGGAAGCGAAAAAAGGGAACGCTTAGAGGTGGAGGACGCTGGAGGAGTTATAATCAAGGACGACTTGCGAAGATTGTATGGGCGACTACTAGGGGTGAGTGATGAAATCCGAGGAAAATTTGAACTATGATTAATGCGAAAGAGGAGACAAAAGCCCACTTCTAGTCTTCGAACCCATAAAAACTTAAGGTTAATTAGCTGGCATCTATCTGAGTAGGAGATATTGGGATGGTTCTTATCTAAAACTTCTTTAGAAAAAGTTCTTTGGACATTTTCAATTTTTAAACGATTAGCTTCATTCATCAAACCAAAAACCGCCACATGCAGGCCAGTCCTGCCCGCATTTTTTGTTATTATTTTTCTAGCACGATGCTGATGGCTTAAAATTTTTATGTCTGACAATTTGTTGTTGTTAACGCATCACATGTATTTACCAAACGTTTTCTGTTCCTTAGCTTAGTAATTTGGGGTTCCATTTTACAAATTTTGCTGTGTATTTTGCAGTCTGCAAATCATGTACCGATATATTTAGTGTCTTTTTAGTTGCTTCTGTGGTTTGCGACATCGTTACCTACGTTGTTCATCTATTTATCTTCTCCTGTTACACAGAACTCGTCGTTTCTACACATTGTCGTTGAACCGGTGTCCCGCAAGCACTTACTTGCCCTTCAACAGGTCCCCAATAAACATTTAATATGCAGATTAAGTTGTCGAAAAAGGGGACAGATGAAACGACTAACCAAATCAACGACTACTTCTGACCTTTGACACGCGAATCCAATAGCAACGTTTGTACCAAGTCAGACTTGGCGGGAAGACAATTGAGAGTGCTTGGGACTTTTCCATGATGATTGAAGTATATCGGACCGAAGAACTTCGACAATACAGTGGAAAAGTAGCCTCATGCGCCTTTCTCCTGCAGGCATTCATTGTGTGCATTCTGATATGTTTGCCTCTCGGTATCGTTTATGGCTCTGGAGGTGAGATAAATGGGCAATTCACGTACATGAAGTACGTATTTTTTAAAAGATTCATATTTTCTTTCGTATATAAACACGAAAATTCCTTAAAAAGAAAACGCAACCGACCAAGCGCACACAGTACTGAGCATTGTAAACGCAAGACCCGGAAAGGCCGCTAAGCTTGTAAATATACTTACGAACATATATTTTCGTACATATATGTACACATATATGTAACTATAGTTACATAACATACGTTATGTATCGACAGACAGATATTTGCATTGTATATAATATATTACATATGTTATGTTTCATATATTATATTGTTTATGCATATGTATTGGCAGTATACTTATTTTGTTCCATTTACCTATATGCTATGCATATATGCACACGTGCATTATATATGTATATATATGTTCATGTTTGCGAGTACGCGAGAATCAGTTAGCGGTGAAGAGACGAGATCACCTACCCCAGGTGGCTATGCACACATTGGACTTAAATTTGCTTGGGAGAACACTCGCATTGTCGGCGTCTGTCCATCAAGGAAAGGTCACGAATTCCTGGAGGCTCTGCACTCACATAAGACATGTATCAACTGCCATATCGGTTTAGATGCCACATACAAATTTCTCGAAAACAACTGGAAGCGAGCGCAGCGAATGCCAAGTGGATGACGAAAAACCATTGACGCGCAATGGCGCAGGCTTCGGCCAACCATAGAATCACTTGTTCGACACGGTTAAACAGTTAACTGTTTTTTGCACATAACCCAAAAGTCTGACGACGAACTGGGGAACCAGACTCGAAAATTTACGCATATATAAATGTTATTTAAGTGATAGTTTCTTTGAAAAGAAATGTGCCCTACTAGAGGCGGTCTTACTTTGCCCATATTAGCTTACGCTACGTGCAAAGGGCTCTTACGAACTACGTTTAGATTTCGTGGTGTTTGAAATGTATATATCACCGCAGTAGTATATATCACAAGCGATATAGTAAGACATTTTGCACAGAATTGCTTCATTAGTTCAGCTGTCGGTCTATGCGCACGAAAAGCCTGTGGTCTTAAGTCCACCTTACGCTGACTTATAGTGAATTATGCTTTTAACTGTAAGCTGTATTGTTTATTCCCTACAAATCTCATACAGAAGGAAAGCATACTAAAAAAGACCAAAACCTTTTACAAGCCAAACGACTAAACTTCGGTGTACAGTCGTCACTTGTGACATCGTGGTTGGCCAATATTTGAGAGCAATTTCAGAATAATTCCGAGACGAAAAAATAAAAGGAGGATGTACTGAAATACACAGGAAATAACATAGGTATGACTTCATGCTCGTTCAAAAATTTAAGTTAATTGATCAGCGATTAGATAGACTTAAATAAAGCACACAGTGTTATCTTATACTAATATGTTCAGAATGTTAGCAGTCGAAATCATATTTTACTATAAAATTAGTCATGGAAACGAAATATTTGAACACATGGATTTAGTGTGAGTACTCGAGCTCCGACGAACTTTTGCTCTCTTTTGCTGAGTCTTAAGTTTAACTAGAATTTCTGTCCGAATATTCGAGTTTTATACATAAAAGCAATACAATATACGCGTCCTTTGGCGGCGCCATGAAGATTTGCTAAAAGAAAATAATAAATAAATTATGAACAAAAAACCTTTTCTATGCAAAGACTTGCACATGGAATCCAAAAAACATCAAAATATAACATAGACACCGAACAAACGTATTACAAACGTTTGTTAGATGTTAAGTAATTTATAAAAGTGGTAAAATATGCACTAACTGACCTGCCTCTGTAAGATGGCCCAAAAACCGATCCGTATCGAAGCGGGATCACCTGCGTTGATATTTTGCAATTGCCGGGAAAATACCGCGGATTATGTAGATCATTTTGATGTTGACAATAAATACCAGCACAGGAGACCTTCCGGTAATCTTAAAGGAAGATACCGGGCAACTTTTAATGTGTAAAAGCAACTACAAATGAGGCCTGTCTGCATTCTGATGTGTTGGCATAACGTTGCAATGGAAGCGAATTTCGCCCTGGCCTGATTGATGTGGACAAAATTGAAGATCGTTGAACCTTATGCGTTTGACCTGATCAACTGAACCGCCTCTGATCAGCAGTGTTCAGTAAGGTTGGGGAGAATAATCACCTAGGAAAGCACGGACAAAGGTATGGGTTATTGCCGAGATGAATGTATAAATGTTATTGCTCAGAGTGATAAAGTACAATTCTAGAAACCCGCACAGTCAGCGACGGAATTTTGCAAAAAACACAATCTGGAGTTGGATTATCAGGTAGGTGTGCTAACTCGGGGTCTTTCTTAAAGACACTAGACCCCTATGAGCGTGTACTACGCACATGAGGCATGAATGACTGCAGATGACTACAGTGTGCGTTGTAGTTGAACTCGTTCGACACGACTGGATTGTAAGGTCAGTCCTTCTGTAAAAGAATTGTATGACTTGAATGTGGCGAGACGTTGGACAAATTTTCTTATCTGAGGAAAGAAAAGTGTTCACCGGATCGAGGGAATCGTTTGACTGACGTTTCGAAGAGCTTGGGCGGCTGTCCATTATCAAAGCGTCTAGTGAAAAAATCAATCAGGATTTTGAATAGACAGCCTTATTAGTTCTGATTACCAGAAGAAAGATTTGAGCCTACTGGACGCTCCATAGTCCTATAAACTTTGTCCAGCCAGTAAGATGACAATGCTGCTCATTAAAACAAACAAAAGGCTGGCAAAACTCGGAGTAAATGGGGCAATCACAGCTAGACATTGGTTTCTTATGAAACCCTCTGACTCTGCCGCCGCGCGGTTTTACGGTCTGTGGAAGGTACACGAAGCAAACATATCGCTTAAGCCCACTAAGTTGCACTCCTATAGACGGTTTGGCAAAATGGGTGTTTGCTCGTCTTAAGTTCCTGGCAGAAAGTTCGCAAACAACAGTGGCTTCTGCTAATCAGTTCCTTGAACGTTTAAAACATCTGAAACTAGAGCCAGATAAATTCGTGGTATCTTTTGATGTCGTTTCACACAACAACTAACGATTGACCTTGTGAGACAACTCCTGACTGATCGCTACAACAAGAGAGACAATCCCCTGAAGACCGAACATCTCATGGAGCTCTTGCGTTATTGCCTAAAACATATTTTACCTTTGGTGGACAAATGCATGAACAAATACAAGGCACGCCTATGGGCTCCCCCATATCAGGGCCGATTGCTGAAGTGGTCCTTCAACGGACAGAACACTTGGTGTTCACCAAGTATCAACCAAAGTTTTAGGTTCTTTACGTTGATGATACTTTCGCCATTGTCAAATCATCTGAAGTGGAGCACCTTACGGTATTGCTGAACTCGGTTGACCAGAATATCCAACTTACGACAAGTGAAAAAAACGGCCAACTTCCATTCCCCGATGTCCTTGTGTGTCGGTGTGCAACTGGGCAGTTACAAACTACCGCTTTCATAAAAGCCACCAACAAAAAACAAATACTACACTTCAACAGCAATCACCCCCTCTCTTACAAACGCAGCTGTGTCCATACTCCATTCCAAAGAGTTGAAACACATTGCAGCAAGCAACCCAGACCGTCGCCGTTTGATGCAACCCAAAGACATACTGCCACCCACTGGAACCTCAGTAGTTGTCTATCAAATAAGTTGTAACGATGGAGACTGCAATTACGTTGGGAAAACCGGAAGGAAAATGCAGACCCACTTAAATTAGCACAAACTGGCAACTAGGAGACTAGACCCAAACCCACAGCTTCCGACTCATATCGAAGAAACTGGCCACAGTTTTGACTTCCAAGGAGAAGCCGTCTTAGGCCGAAGCACCTCAAGGACAGAACGTCTCATACTTGAGGCTTGGTACTCAGGTGCCAAACTGGTCAACAGGCACCTAGACCTTCCTGCGTCCTATAAAGTCTTACGTCACTATATATGCCGAGTCGAGGACAAGGCCGTCATACGGAGCTTCAGAATACCGAGCAAACACGGCATGTCGGCCGATTTATCCAAAAAAGGGGACACAAACGCAACTAACACCAATTGAGGTGACCACATAACACAGGAGACCGCCAACACTCACAAACGACGGCCAGTAGGCTAAGGCAGCGAAAGAATAGAAGATAGATCTGCCCAAGGCCAACTAATTCAGCTGTCTTTTCAAAATTGTGATCGATTTTCGCACTAAAGGCTTTGATAATGGACAGCCGTCCAAGCTCTTCGAAACGTCAGCTAAACAATTCTCTCGATCCGGTGAGCACTAACCTTTCCTCAGATTATCTACCCGGATCCCTTACTTGAGCTCAAATGTCTTCATACTTTTCAGCGGTCGAACACGAAATAAGACTTGTTTAGCTGCACTTTGGGCCTGGCTCAACTCCAGCAGTCATGTAGTGGCCCATCTATTTAATTTAGAATTAACTCCTCATTACTTCCTTTAAAATGCTTTTTAAACTCTGCACGCTAAAGCGCGCAATATTCTCCTTGATTAGGGGATCGAAGGGCTGAAGAATCTAGTTCTTTGGTGTCATCTGATATTGGGAGGAATTCGCACAAGCTACTTCTACATGAGTAGAAGAGCGTGTTTCTCCAGCAAAATAGGTCGGATGCTCTCAGAACGCGTTTCTAGATAGCATAAGATGCTGAATCGTTCGAAATCAGTAGCATGAAGAACACGTTGTTTTATATGGTTCAGTAAGTGCATCCTGTTCATTCCCTAGAGTCAGATTGGTCTGATTGGTGCCGGCAAGAACGTGCTCTAAAATACAAAGTTGCTAAAATCGAGTTGGTAGCATGAATTTGGCAGTTTCATTTTTCCTCTGTACTTCAGACAGACAGAACCGAACTATATCGGCAGACAATAGCTGTTGTTTTTGTTGTGCAGCTAACAAAAGATAATTAGTATCAGATATCTATTTATCTCGTCCTCAGTTTGGCCTTTTTAAATTTTTGGATTGTTCGTTTGCCCTCGCGGCATTCGGTTTCTTACAGAATACGTTTTGACACGTTGCCCAAACAAAACAGTCTACCCGTAACTGCCGTTAATGGCTGCTGTTTCTTCTTCCCCGAATGAATGTATTTCCTTTTCACATCCTTAGCAAGGTTTAGGGTTTGCAGTTGGGGAATAACAAGGATGGATTTGCCTTCTTCAAGCAGCTCCTTTTTGGTTTATAGGCCCTGTCCCACTGAGTTGCGAATCATTTGCCATAGCTGCGGCCTAAACCAAAAAAACAGGAGGTTGAGATCATTTTCGTCTATACTTTTAGGCCTTTTTAGAGAGAGTAACGTCATCAGGGAACATTTGACGGTGACTATTGCCCGACACGTTAGAGGATGGATCTTAAGCGACAGTGGCGAATCACCCTTCAGCGTTTCAGTCAACAAAAATCCCAGGTGTTCTGACGTCTTACCAGCCTACCTTTCATCCTCGCTTGAATATGTTTCGACGAATATTGGTGCTCGCGTTTTGACCGCAGATATAATTGTCCCGAGGCCACGAGCTGGAAAACTGCGCGGGATCGTCCTACTTTTGCCGATTACTTTTGAAATTCCAGCAAGTTTTCTCGAACCACCTGATGTCTTTTTATGCAGAAACTTGATTCGCCGTTGCTTTTTTCGACAAAGATGTTGACCTTTCCGGCAAATGCGCACCTGAATCACTTTATTTTCAATGGAGTCCTTAAAGTTAACCCGTCGATGGTGCTTTCACCCGAGGAGTTGTGGAACTATAAGAAGGTAGGCAGTGGTTTCTTTGATCGTCATCGCGAACGCAGCAATCGCTTGGTCGTTTCTGTGAGATTTCCCAATTATTCATTAATAAAACTGCAGGTAAGACGTTTTTTGACCTGAGAGCTTCTCTTTTAGACATCCTCTCGCTCACAGAGATCACGACGGAAGTCCGATCAAATCCATCGGTAGACGGAATTTCGATTGAACTAAAGTTGAACTTGCCCGAAAATGTTATAACGTATCCTTTTGGGTTGGGTGTAGGTAAAATTCCATTCCTAATACCCTAGTCGACCTTGTCAGTAAGGAAGAACGCTTATCAAAAGACGGCCGGTTTAATAACGTTGCTGCTCAACTCCATTATTTTATCTGTTCACGGTTCAGGGAACGTCACTTTTTCGACGTCTTATTGACCGATTATTTTGAGTGTCGCTCCTAATCGGCAACTTCTGAAAAGGAAAACAGCACAGGATAGATCTTTTTTAGAATGGCCATACTGAGCTTAATATTTCGGCCGTAGAGTGAGTGACGGATCTGATGAATTGTTGGCCAGAATTCTGAAATGCGCTTTCGATTAGGTGGGGCTGCAATATTGATTATCGTGCGGTGCAATGCTATAATATATTGGACTGGTCAGAGTATCGGCTTTTGAATGCATTTCTTTCCGATCTCCTGTTGAAACATCATTTAGCAAAAATGACTACCTAGGTAGCATACATTTTTCTCATTGATTTTCGATAGTCTTATGAATTTAAATATACTTTTTAGAAGAAGCACAGATTTATGCCGTCTTTTACTCGTTATGTAGAAAATCACGTTGTCTTCACAGTTTTTACGCGGAGCAAGTGTATATTTAGGTTTTAAAAAATCTTTCCTGATTCCCGAGTGATTTGAGCCTTAGAGGTCGTTGCATTAGTGTTTGGCGATTTCCGCCTACAAGACGTATGCATTCTGCGTAAGGCAAATCATATATTTAAGAAAATGCCATATAGTGCTCATAAATTTTTCCGATGGATGCGGACTATGCTGTAGATTTAACGAGGAGTATCGGTAAATTGACAGGCACGATACTGTATGAATTTTCGTTGAATGGTCTTAGAAAAGCTAATAATAAGAAACCTTTTTAAAATCTAAAAATATCCATTCTTCGAACATAAAACATAAAGGCAACATGATTTTTTACCAAGCGAGTGAAGGAAAATAATTTTTGTGCATGTTTTCGGCAAACTACGTTTGAATTTGTAAGACTATCGTAAATCAATGTGAAAAATGCAGGCTGCCTGAATGGTCATTTTTTTAGCGGGGGGTAGTTTCTACATGAGGTCGAAAAGAAGTGCTTTCGATAGCCAATATTCTGACGAGACCGAAAAATTGTAAAATGCTTCTGCAAGGCAATCAGTATTGCCAGCCCGCCTAAGCTATACCCCTAATGTAAAACGCCTTTCAGAATTTCAGCCAATGTTTCACGAGATCGGTCACTCACGGCAATTATGGATCTGCTGAGACACGCATTCTCACCTCCAAATAAATGAACCAGGTACCAGTTGGTGGGACCGTGTGCAAAATTTCAAAAATGTCGGGGGACGTAAGTTCAATCCCTGACTCTAACTGTACCCCTAAACCGCGAGGTTACAATAAATTTTATTCAAATCTACCCGGCCTGCCAGCCATCTTTGGTGAATATTCTAAGCTTACGCCCTAACTGTGTATGTGGTCATGTTGATATCGTCATCGCGACATCCAAGAGCACTGGATATTCGGAATCGGACTAGCCATTTGCGTATGCCGGAAACTTACCACCCTCTTGCTCATCTTGGGCAGTTATGGTTATCGCCATCACTTCATTGCGTTAGGTATGTTAGAATTTGTCTGTATGAACCATCTCGTTGTCTTAGACATGCATTAGGGGCACTTAATTTTCCGCGTTGACTCAAACAACATCATCGCCATGTTGCATAAATTTGATATTTACTTACAACCGTAAACCAATCAAGCTACTGATACACCCTTATGCTGCAACTCATTTACTGCATTATTTTTTGTTCGTTCTAAATGTTTGGTGACACTACCACTACCACCAACTTCGAAACTTCGGTTAGGCCCCGTTATATGTCCTCCTCGTATGAGAGGTGGTTTGGTCCTAAATTCCAGGGGAGCACCTATTTCTGTGTTGTAACCGCAACCCCCTGAGACTAAGCGCAAGATCACCTGTGATAGAGGAGGTACCTATTTCCTTACCCTACCGGAACTTCGAATGCACCGGCCGGCCGAGTAAAGCCGCACAGTAGTAACCTCAGCCAGTCTAATGCGTTAGAGTGAAATCGAAGGAAACCCTCTGCTCCTTTATTCGTTTGAAAGGTGCTCCAGGATATGGTTTCCACCTAGCGCGTTCATATCTGTAGTCAACTAAGATCTAACTCGAGCCCCACCCCCGTTGAAAAAAGCACAGTAAGTCAGTCGAAGTGTGTCCGTCTTACTGTCGAGACATGTGTGAATATTTGTTTCTATCAGTAACCAGGAACTTTCAGACAGCTCAGCAGACAATGTACATCTTGCTTAAAGCGGCCAAATAAAGCGTCCCCGTCTTAGAATCTGCATCAGTGCTGTATGACAACCATCTCCTCCTCTTCTTCTTCGGTGAGGGCTACCTTCATGAATTGCTGTCTTCTCTTGAGGCGTTGGTAAAAATTTCAGCGTGCGATACATGACTCATTAGAAAGGAGCATACTTCGGACTTTAGAAAGATTGCGTCACTGATCATAAACCTGAATGCCAAACTGAGGTCCAATAGGTAGAGCGGTCAGTTATTGTGAGTGCTGCCAGACAGACCAGTTCCCTGGTGTCGGCAGAGTAACAACTTTGGCAGTTTTGACACATTTTCAACTAAAATGACTTGGCTTTAATTAAATTACTTACGTTTTCTTAACCTCGCGGACGTATTTTCTTACTGCATTTTCCTTAACCGCCTCATCAGTATTCAATCAAGTTTCTGGTACACGATCAAGTTCGCTTGGGTCCAGTACCTCTGCGTCGCTCTCCTGCTTTTCTTTGCCGCAGAGGAACTTCGCAGCTTTTGCTACTCTGGACAATTGGTTCACACCACTGTTTCGTCAACGCTGGACTACAACTACAAGAAGAAGCTTTTATAATCGTGCAGTTAAACAGTCACTATCGTTTAACCAGCAAATCACCAACTACTTTTAAAATAAAAAGTAACCATGTTCGTACATTACAAAAGTTGCTACACGGCTTGAAAGACGTCCATTCTAGTCATGCATAAATACGCAGACCTGGGTGTTGATGGCTTTAAAATCGAAGAACGTTAGAGAACCTGAGCTGATTATGTACGAGATACGTGTCTGGAGAGGGTAAGCATATACGATGACTAGCTAGCTAGTCAGAAAGTGAAGGTTCGTACCGCGCTACAAAGGATAGCCGCCGTTTATTAAACTTAACATACATAAATTAGACGCGACTCAATATTTTACAAGGGTTAAAAATAAGCAAATACAGGAGTGGCCAACTGTCCTGTTGTACCGTAGATTCAAAATTATTTGCTCTCAACAGGATTTAGACAATAATTCCTGTAAAGCCATTCAGAGCGCATTAGGTCGAATAACATAACAGACAAAGCAAAGGGGGACTTGAATGGCCACTTTAGACTTATTAGCCATCGTCAGCCAGTCATACTCAACCCCGAAGTGTGAAACATCTGGGGCTCAATCCCGAGACCTATTGGTTAAAAGTTCAACGACACTAACCTCTGGGCTACGGGCTCGTTTTCCTCTCGGTTGCGATCGGGAATATACAAAGGTAGAGGGACGCTCACGGTCGTGTTACGGAACCTACTCGTCTTGTTTAGCCTTAGGGCTCTCTCGAGACCAACCAGCAGCCATACAGCGGCGCATAATATACGCAACCGATTGTTTAATCAGAAGCTTTGTTTTGGGGAATATCCAATATTTACACTTTTGTGTTCCGAGGTGATCAGGCAAGCCTCTTCTGCAGAAAGTATCAATACAATACCAGGCGAAAGCTGTTGATATTTTTAGCGCATAAAGGTCATGCCAGGGTTCTTTTTCAAGCGAATTAAAGGTTAACTCAGAAAGGTTAAACTCGGTTTTTTACGGTAATAAGGACTTTATATAATCTGTCGGATGTGCACTGAGTCACGAGAAGGGTTTTACTAAATTTGCTGTGCAGATTTTAGATGCACACGACAGAAGGCGACTTAAACATATTCGGCACAACAAAACCGCATACCTTTTTCACGCATTATTTTGTACATGGACTGCATAGATATCCAGCAAAAGCAATTAGCCTGGCATGCCGGCTTTTGAGTCACCTTCTTTTCGGCATTCTGCAAAAACTGTACTAAAAGCATGATTACCTTGCCAGTTTAAATTTTCCTCACTGATTTTCAATATCCAGATTAATTCAAAAATATTTTGTGGAAAACACGCACAAGAATGGTTGCTCCCTTAATCATGTGGTAGAAAATTATGTCCTTCTTAAATCTTATTCTAAAAGGAAGAATATCTCAGAGATTTAAATACTTTTCTAATTATGAGACTTTTTTAAGACTGTGCGATGTTTACTCATAAAACATGGTGTCAGTCCATTCATTGATGTTACTTTTGTGATTAAATAATACGTTTTTCAAGTATGCATTTAAAAAAAAATGTAATTGCGTAACAAATGAGTAGAGGAAAAATATTCTTTCTCATGTTTTCTACAAAATACATTTGAGTTAATAAGGGCGTTGAAAGTCAGTGAGCAAACTTCTTACTCCTTACAGAGTGCGATTCAAGCAAACGATCGAAAAGAAGCTCGCATAAAAGCGGGCTTTCTGGTATGACTGAAATATCTTGGGTTTCTGCTGCACGACCATTAATATTACAATCTCACTACTGAATTGCGTTGTCGATTAGGAAAGACAGCTTAAACGGGTTGTAATATTGACTTCCATGCGACACAATCCTCTAATATCTAGTACTCGTCAGGATGTCGGCTTTTAAATGTATTTCTTTTAGACCTCATTTAAGAACCGCACACGGCAAAAATGGCTGCTTGAATAGCAAGCATTTTTCATATTCATTTTCGCTGGTGTTATAAAATCCAGTATATTTTACAGTAAAAATGCACAATATATGCTTTTTTGCTTATATGGTAGAAAGTCACGCCACATTCGCATTTCCTAATCAAAGAAACACCATCTTCCGTTTCTACAAAAATTTTATAATTATGGGATTTCTTAAGATCGCGCAATGTCTATTCATACGCCATCGTGACTGTTCGCTTATTAATGCTCCTTACGAAGTACACAACATAGTCTGCATTCATTGCAAAATTTCAAGTGCTCTATATGGCATCTTCCTAAAGGCACATAGTATATATGTTTTTCCTTACGCGGAAACTAAGCAGCTTGTAGACCGAAATCACAAAACTCTAATGCCACGCATGATCTGGCTCAAAATTATTCAGGAACTGAAACACTTTTCGAAACCCAAATTAATCCTTTTTTAGCATAAAACGTGAATACATGCAAGAGAAGGCATATTTTTGAGATATTTTCTATAAAGTATATCTGAACTCATAAGGCTATCGAAAACCAGTCTGAAAAATGAACTCTTTTTAAGTTGTTAGTCTTTTGGAGAGGGCTATAGGAGATCAAAAAAAATACATTCGAAAGCTAATATCCTCATGAGTTAGACATTTTGCAGGATTATGCCACATAGTAATTATTTTTGGCAACCATACCGTAGTAATACTTCCTGATTGAAAAAGGATTTCAGAATCCCGGCTAGCATTTCATGAGATCGGTTACTGACGGTATTTAAGTTATCTTTTAGAGTTATGAACACTTTTCAAAATTTCATTTGTACATAGTGTCGGCCTCTCTCTACCTCCTATCCGCCAGTTGACTTTCTAAGCCCGTCGACCAGGCAATGATGAGATTGGGTGCAGTTGTTGGCGCGGCTTGAATCCAATGCTTTATGTGCGCATAATGATAATTAAGGGCATGCCCGGACTCTGCACGACCTGAGTAACGCGTCCTGTGATCCTCCATGGAACACAGGACACAATTACCATCAACCTTAGCAGCAGTAGTTGTTTCCTCCCAAGGCAACCATTCCAAAGAGAGCTCCAAAAAAATTCGAAAAATTCCGGATTTTCTAAGTCCCTGGATGAGAGTGAGGGATTAAAAGTTAGTGCCGTCACGCATACGACGCCCTTTAACAGAGACGCACGTGAAAACTAATCGACTGGAAACAAGTTACCCATTGTTAGGTTACCTCTGTTAGGCTCGAAGTCCAGCTGCCGGTTCCTGAACGGAAGACGAAATGTACTAACGGGGATTGTTCTTATTCAGAAGAAATGGTGGCCAGCGAACGTTGCTTTCGATAACTTCTCGTCAGGCCAGTACAGTTATATGGTACGGGGTACAGTGATTGAAAATAATCGATAAAAATTAGGTTTTAAGATACAGGCTAGGCAAGAGCGGAAAGACGCAAAAAGTTGTATGTGGTTAGTTAGCCTTTGACCACTGCAAGCGCGGAGCCTGAACGAGGTTCTTCAAGCAACATAGGGTCGGTTTTCGTAAACTGATGGCGGCCGTTTCTGCTGTTGCTAACATGCTTTGGCCCAGTAACTTAGGGTAACTCGAGGGGGCCTTATAAATGACACGAAATGCTTCAGCGGGATCCACACGATGCCTTGAATCCTTTGCATGCGCAAGGATGGCGCTGTCTATTCTCCTAGTTTCACCTTTGGCCAGCCATGCGGGAAGGCTCTCTCGTATTGTTTTGGATAGGCGCCGACTCGTACGACCAAATTTTGCGTGCGTTCTTACTAGTTTAAGAGGTGGTTCCAAGGTCATCATACCCGCATGCAGTAAAAATACATAAGTGAAGAAAGAGCACGTAAGGCGGCTTCTTTTGGAAAAAATTAGATTACACCTGGAAACAGGCAGAAGTTTATTGGATGATTTTCGTAAATGGATAGCATAATCGACACATTTATGATTAGTTCTAGTCTGGTTTCAAAGTCGGCACATCAGCTACGCAGTCGAAATAGGCTAAAGGAAATGAATGAAAACGAAACAAATAAAAAATTAGATTAAACTTTAGAAAAGAGACAACAATATTTTGCCATCTCAAATGCACAGTCTAACCGGCAGTTCTAGTAAAGTGAGTAGGACCAAATAAACAAAGTCTTTGTTGGTGACCTCCTTTATAAGTTCATGCAATGCGTTTTTGTGGGTAAAGCGACCATGACGAGATCGAAGTAAGGTCTACGAAGTGGCTAGTAAGGTGATTCAACATTGTGGCATGAGCGAAAACACACATACGACAGTTAGACCGTCGTTTTCGACGATGTCGACCAAGCGTCCAACGTTATGGTGAGAGCAGTGAGGGTGGCTTTCGCATAAATTAAGTTGTAGCTATAGTAGACTTGCGTAGCACCTACTGCATTCTCCCCTCTCCTCCTATTCGGCCCCCCTGTGAAATCAGATCCCATAAGGCCGGAGGTGGGAGAGAGCGCAAGTGGCTGGCATGGCGATTGGGCCCAGGGGTCCCACCACACTGACCAGGATTTCACACAGCAAACAACGGGGGCGTCTCTGATCCCAACTGGCGCAAAGGGAGCCGGCAACTGGACCTGCCACCGCAACCCTAGCGTCGGTATCTCTTTTGGCCGTGCATTCTGGACAACGCCTGCCGACTCCGATCTAGCTCCCGTGTTGGTACAGCGCGTCTACTGTGCCACCAGAGTCGAACAAACGGCCCAGAAAAGAGGCATTCTGCAAACACCCTCATTTTACCTCAAATTGGTCTGCCAATGACGAGGATATGCTGGTGTGGAACCATCAGTAAGCTGTCCACTTGTGATGGCCAGCCATCATGACCGGTCTGGCGTCATTGTTCAAGACCTCACTGCCTCAAAGTCATTTACGCTTCCGCAGCGCGCCGTTCCAAACGCGCTGACCTGAAGTCACACGACAGACAGCTCGGACACAATTGCGTCCACACTGTGTCGCGGCTGCCCATGCGCCACTTGAACGCACCGTCCCCCTGCGACCAAAACCTAAGCCACTGGGACACCCCCCCCCCGTCGGCAAATGCAACACACACTCATTGGACACCAC